TTCCCTTGTCAATTTAATATCATTTAGCATGAACTGTCCTTCCTTTCTGAGTTTTGCTTTTGCTCTTCTTTAAGAGCATTGACATATGATCAATATCTGTTGATGATACATGATTCTCACCTTTCAACCATAGAATAGCCTCAGCAGCCGCGTTCTTTTCCGCGACTTTCTTACTGCTACATGGCTGCCCTGAAAAGTTCAAGCCATTAAAGACAACAGTAGAGCGGAACTGGTTGTTTTTAAGTTGTTTTGTCTTATATATCGGTGCCCCATGTCCTGCCCTGGCAAGCAATGTTTGTAGCTGGCTCTTGGAGTTATCACCCCCATTTTGAGCCCCAGTATATTCATTCTTGGCTACCACTTTGGTTGCCTTTTTCTGGGGTACTGCTACCTGGCGACCAAAAACGAATCTACCCTCACATTTATCCTCTGATACCAGCAATCTTACGGCTGATATGAGTCTGTAGTAGGACATCATATCAAGTTTGGGATCTAGAAGCTGCCAAAGGAATTATCAAGAAAGCATACATCATTAGCAAACAGCAATGGTAATTCGGGAATGTTCAAACTCACTTTGAGGCATAGGTAATCTTTACCTTCTTCTGAATTAAGTCATCAAGCTCCCTCTTTAAACTCAAGTACATATCTGACAAGGAAGGTTTCATAAAGAACTCCAAGTATCCGCCCAACATTTTTAGGTGCCCATCCTATCAAGGTCAAAAAGAAAAAACTTTGGAACATATATCGGATGTTACAATAACTCAGCAAAAAAGGAAGTTTGCATGTTACAATAAGACTATGGAAAGGCATGATTGTCATGCATGAAAAGCCATGGTCATGACTCATAAGAGATATTTGTATAAAAGAGAATCAAGGGACTCACTAGACCGCCCTGGGAAATGTTTCCTCCAAATAAGAGAAGCACAGAGTCAGATACACCAGTAGAATCCCGGAGAAAAACTGAATTAACTTTCACTTTTTCATTGAAGACTAACCATGGGTAAGGAATTTTGGGTACTGCAGCATTCACGGAATTCTGTTAAACACGGTATGTATGATTAGAGAATGAGAAGCAGTCAGTTTCAAGATACTTGAATGTTTCTTTGTTCAAAATGTTAAATAAAGCCACGCAGAGATACCAAAGAAACTGAAAGATGAGACAATTACCGAGTGCAGAAGCACTTGACCATCCTCCATAGTTTTCAATGCTATTGACTTCTCCCTGTTCTGCAGAGAAAAAAGTGTGAATATGAGATCTATCATATGACAAGCATCAACAACCAAACCTTTATAATGGATAGGAAAAGAAAGGAGCTAAATCAATCCCCTCAACCTTATTAAGTCCTACAACTCATAGAAAGTAAACTCATAATTCTTTTTGCTCATTGGAACTTCATATGAATATCAAGAGCAAGAAGCACCAGAGACAAAAAGACTTATAAACAAGATTAAAACTGAAGACATTTTTATTAAGTAAAGAATTAAAATAAAAAGACTATTCAATTGACTCACCACAACAGAACAAATTCCAGGAAACAAGCCTGCACAGATGACTGCTCGGATTAGATGTTCATCTCGACTCCACTTAATGCAGTTTTCTGTATTCTCATCAACAAGACCAGCATCCTTGAGTAAAAAGAAGAATTGTTTTCTGAGAGAATCCATAGCTTTTAGAGTTTGTGCAGAAAGAAAATTCTTCCAGCAATATTCATAACCAGATTGCTCTTTTTCAGCATCTTTCCAACCCTCATATGCCCGGATCAGTGCCAGATGGTCACTATACTCATCTGCGGAGAACTGCGCTTTTGCTGACTCTGCAAGCTGCAGAATTTCACTAAAATTAAAGGCACCTCCTTATAATTGCAGCACAAATTCTTTGCACAGTTACATGAAGCAAATGAATCTCTTTGAGACAACTGCTGTGTTTTGTCTCTTTCTTCCTAATCATCAACCATCAGTATTTTTCTCTTGTTTAAAGCAACTTAACAAGGGTAAATTTCACAAAGAAAGTCATCAACCTAGTGCTAGCAAATTCTAAAGAGTGTTGCTGTAGCTGAAGTGTACAATATAAACCCAATTAAATTTCATTCGCTAAAAACCATTAATAAACACCACACTTCATTCTTCATAACAATCATACAAACACCATACATTAAAGAATTTCCTGATTAAATCCTGCATGGATAAAGTTGCACTTGCAACTAAAAAAGAAAAAGGATCATAAAATATGAGAGGTAAGACAGTTAAATTAAATGATCTGCTTGCAATTGGACAAAGACTCATCAAATTCATGACTCACTCATGGAACACTAAATTTAGGGTTTTTCGTTCAAGCCTTAGGTTGAAGTTTTACAAACCACCAGTAATTATGGATATACAACTACTGACAATTTTTCTATTGTTAATGAGTATTTGAGTTAAGGTTTAGAACATTTAAGAGCCTTAAATTTTCTTCAACTTCAAGTAAGGCTATTAAGATTTTGAATATTTCATTATCCAAGTTTGGTGCTTAAAGTATCCACTATTCTAGGGTCTTAAATTAAAGATGGTAAGATTAATAAATTGCAGAATTTTAATTCTCTATTTTTTATCTAATACATCAACCTTGGGGTTGACTATAAACTAAGCAATTTGCAAGTAGCTCACATCTGTCTTGTGATTAACTCAGCTTGTTTCCACCTCTACCTAGCCCCCTATCCCTTCTGTTCTATTATTTTTCTATTTTCCTCCTTTTTCCCTCCTACCTCATATCTCATTCTCTTCACTGTTGTTTCTTCCTACTATCCTACTCTTACTCAAAGGAGAAAAAATTATCCTATCTCCAATTAAAAATTTGCATGGAGGTCCCAGTTAAGTACCTGCAAAAATGTACTGCCTAAAATTTGCTTGTAAGGAATTAGTTGGGAGAGTTATCATTTCCCAAGTGACAATGATTACTAGTTTAGTTGTAACTGAAAATTATAAAGTTTATTGGTTATAGTGCAGTTGCAGTTTCGCATTACAGGCCAAAGCTGCACACCCAGTGCAATGTAACTGCAACATACACGATTAAATTGTTCAAGCCACTTCCAAGCATGACAAAGGAAGAAGGCAGGGGAAAATTGTCAAGGTGAGAGAATCTTCTCTATCAGCTGCAATCTTCTATGGAATAAGGAAGTGGAAAGGATGAAAAGTAAGTGTATAAATCTAGAGAAGATGACTAACAGAAAGCAGAGTACTTGTAGGAGGAAGTTAACAGATGGGCAAAATGGAACCCAAAGGGAATCAAATTAGTGGATGCCGGCGGGAAAAGGAAGAAATTAGTGCATGTCGCTTAACACATTGAACTTCAGGACACAAGGACTCAATGGTGAGACAATTCCCGGTTCCTGGATTGAGAGTAGAAGCATTGCCATAAGAAGAGAAGCAGAAGTCCGGGATCTAGGGGAAAATTAGGTTATCACTTCCACAGTACCAAGACACAAGGTGTTGGAGAAAATAGAGGGTTTGGAAAAGAGGGATTGGGAGGATCAAGAGAAGGCAAAGGCAGGAGCTCGGAGATTAAGAGAGAGTATGCAGGTAAATATGCTGAACACCAACCACAAGATGCGTTTGTTTTTTGAAATACACAAGATGTGTATTCTTGGCATCTTTTTATCGAGATCGCTCAAGATCTGCTTGACACAGCAGTAAATATGCTGACAAAACCTTGTTTATGAGGCTGCATTTCTAGGAGCTTTGAAGGGCTTGTTCCTGTTGAGCGGCACTATCTATTGGGTGATGGGGGACACCCGTTTGGTTGTATGTGCTCATATGAGTTTTGGCTTTGAGGGGACCCTGATATAGGATACTTTTTGGTGTTCTGAGCTAGCAACTTACCCTTTTTTTATATGATGATTCTGCTTCAAATCAATTTGTTTTTAAGCTATTCCAGAGCTACAGCTTTTTGGTGGTTCTATGCAAGGGGATGCACTTTTATACCCTTTTCCGGTGATATCTTGCTACCACTTCTTAACAAATTCTCTTTTTCTTTTCAGAAAAAAAAAGGTTCAAGCCACTCAACAGAATTATTATAGCATTACACAGTCCAGAGAGTTCTACCTTTTTGCTACTTAACGCTACTTTTAGTAGGCAGTTACTGAAATGAACTGTTCAAAATTAATTTTTTTTCTTCAGCAGGAAAATTAAAATGTTTTTGATATCTTATTAAAGAATTAAACTATCTTCAAAACAAAAGCAACAGGAAAAGGATATTTCACATAAAATAATTGACGTAAGGAAACACATTATATCGATTGCTGACATTTCAAGTATAAAAGCATGAAAAAAAGCGTAATATGAACTAGCCATACACTTACATCTTTCTTATCAAAGGGCATCAGGAATGGATCTCTGATACTAAGACCAGCAACAACAGTCATTATTGGATCCAGACAACTGAAGATGGCCCCTAATATGAGCATTTTCCCAAGCTTCGGCTCAACTGGAAGCATAGATAAGTTGTATCCTGCAAAGCCACCAACCATTTTTACCACCAAGTTTCAGAAAACAAAGGTGAGAAAAAGGAGAGATCTTTAGAAGAAAACAAATCCAAACCTAGCACCGTCAAGTCTTCGTTCTCATCTAAAGCCCCAATGATCTTCAGATATTCAACAGCATTTTGTACCTATGAAGATCCAAATACCTAAATAAATAGAAATATATAGAGGTAAAGATAAGAGATAGAAGAAAAGTTGAACAAAGATACCGATAGAGGCTCAGGTGGCTGCAAGGCCCTGGCAAGGAACTCAGAAATGCTTCCTAGTTTTAGACTTTTGATTTGCAAACATAAAGACTGTAATGGTGTTCTTAAGAGTTCCGGCAACTGATAATCAGCAAAGGCATCGTATACACATCTGGGATATAGATGATAACATTCTCCGGGCTGAACACGACCAGCTCTTCCTCTTCTCTATAAGATAAACACAGGCAACTAATTAACACTTGAAATCAATCTATACAAATTAAAGAAAACAATCCAAGAAAATATA